ACTTTATATATTGTTCTCATTTTCATATTCTGGGAAAAGAAGTATAGCGTTAGAGCTGGGGATGACAGAGAATGAGGTGGCTGGATGGAATCACCGAAGCAGTAGCCATGAGCTTAAATGGACTCTGGTAGATGATAGAGAACAAGAAGTCCTGGAGGAATGTTGTCCATGGGGTCGCGATGGGTTAGACACGACTTCACAACTAACAACAAAACTTTTTTCCTCAAAAGATTCCAGTCGCTTGTTGATTCCAACTTTGGAGTAATTACTTGCACATTAAAACAATGCAGGGAGTATTAATATAATGTCCTCAGATTTGGAGAAATCAGATACCCAATATTTTTTTCCCATCTATTTTTAAGGCTATTATCTTTTGTTCATTGTGGATCAAGCAGCCTCATCAGCACAGGTCTTTGTTCCTAATCTCAATGACACCAAAATGGAAGAGATAGTTCAAATAAAACTATGGCAGTCTTCTTCAACTTGATAAGCCCAAAGGATTACTTAGACAATATACTTCCTAGCCAATCAGATCATTTTTCTAGGACAGGGATGGGCAATAAGTAACTGCAGCATACAAATACCATAAATAGCACACTAAGATAATGCCAAAAAAAAATATTCTTATGTTTTATACACTATAAATAGACTATATTTTCATTGCAGGCTAAATCTTCAATGAATTCAAGATGTTCAAATCCAGCACTCAATTCTCAGAAGCTAAACAAATGTGAGAGAATCATACTTCATCCACCACCCCAGAAAGCCAGGTCTCCTTAAATACTCCTGACTGTACAACCACTTACGTTGTTCCTGCTCCTGGTGTCTGGATTTTTGAAAACTCTGGGATCTCCTCTTTCTTCTTACGAAAGAAAAACCAGTAGGTCAGGAGACCAATGACAATGGAGAAGAGGAAGATGTCCATCATGCTGAAGGCAGTTGAAGCCTCTGGACTCTGTGCAGAAGAGGGTTCGTCTTTAGATGCTGCTGTCCCCATGGAGATGAAAACTAAATGGAAATAAAAAAGAACGTGTCAAATACATTGCAACAGCTTTGAATATCGGCAATCTGGAATCTTCTGGAGCCAAAAAAAAAGACCAAGGTAAAAGAAGGAGGGGTTCAGTCTGAGAATGCCAGGAGATTATCCCAGATTATGTGGAATAAACCAGAGACGATTTCTTGAAGAAAGCAGTCATAGCTGCATACCCGGAAACCACAAAGATATATTTCATTTTGCACCCAGTACTGGACTTGGCTTGAAATTTGATAGAACCATCAGCCTGATCACTCCCATAAGTTTCAGAACGTTCCTATAAAAGGAGCTTGCCAGCAAAATGATCTCTAACCCAGAAGGAAGATAAATATTGCATACTGGTATATCCCCCCCCCTCTCTCTAGCACTACTGGAAGCAAAGTCATATTAACTTAAATTATTTTTCACCTGCCTTCCTTATAGACCAGTCCAAGCGTGCAACTAATAAAAGTGATACAACATACTTTAAACCCTGCCACTTCCCTAAGGCAAAAAGCTTGTGTTCTTCTTAGTTCCTTTTGGAAAGACTAAGCATGCCAGAGGTGATGCAAAAGATGGAAAACCAATATGTGGCATCAATTCAGGCTGACATTCAAATCCACCCGCAATTACATTCACTGGAGATTTGGGACCTGTTGCTTTCTCTGAGCAAAACCTGCCTTGCAGGATTTTTACTGCAAAGAATATCTGGAAGGATGGGTAATATGTACACCATTTGAATCTCTGAAGAAAAGGTGAGACCTAAATCCAACAAATAATAAGATCCAACAATCAGAAGCTGCTGTTTCACGTTCAATACAGTTACTTTGAGTTCAACCTCTTCCTGAATTTTTAAAGTATCCTTAAGGTGAGATCCTGGCAAGCACACACCTGTAAACGTATTTTTGGCAACCATAAAGAAAGCATTGCTCTTCCAGATTTGATTTGTCAGTTGAGCCTGCTGCCATGTCCATTCCTTCTTAGCTTCCAAGATCAAAGGAAATTGGCCAGGTTCTGCCATCTTCTTAAATCGCATAATATAATTTTAAGAGTTTTATATCATGTGATGTATGGCGATGGCAAAACATTGTGGCTTCTGAATAGAAGAAACAATGTTGTTTCTTTTTGCAGTTTAGACTGAGTGAAATGAATGTTTACAAACTTCAAGAGTTGTAATTAGATATACCGAAAACCAGGGTTTTTGTCTTAGGTTATAGTCTTCTGCTATATGTAACTCCTAACTAGTTATCGGCTAGTACCAATTGCAACATAGCAAAATGTGATTGATTTATAGCTTTGCAAGTGTGTGAACTCAGTCACAGTGATTAATAACCATGATTAAGTGGAGAAGAGAGGAGAGAGAAGGAGAGGAAAGGAAGGAGAGGGAAGTAGGGAAGGGAGAGAAGGAGAGGGGGAAGGAGAGAAAAGTGGAGGGGAGGAGAAAAGAAGGAAGGAGGGAAGAAGAAGGAAGGGGAGGGGGAGACATTTGCAGACATTTTATCAGCAGATTAGTTAATAGGAAGAAGAAAATCAAGCACCCAACAGTTCAGCCTTTACTTACATACAGTATATTCTCCAATATTGCATCAATTTATGGCTGGAGGGTCCAAGATAACACTTGACTTTGTGTAGTGTGTTATATACACCAACCAGGTACAGACCCAGTGGAATGGATAGATCAGTGATGGTGAACCTATGGCACATGTGCACCCTCTCTAATGGCACACGAGTCGTCACCCCAGTTCAGCTCTGTCACGCATGTGCATGTGCCTCCCACCGGCCAGCTGGTATTCGGGTCTCTGCCGTGCATGAGCGGGGGGCAGGAGCATGGGGTGTGTGCATGCATAGGGGCGGGGTGTATGGGGGTCACACATGCAAGTGGAAGGTGGAGCATGTGGGGGGTGTCACATGCACATGCACGGGGGCACATGCATGCATGGGGTCATGTGGGGAATCATGCATGCATGTATGGGGGCATGCAGGGGTGCCATGGGGGCATGGCATATGAGCAGTGGGGCGCTTTGGACACTTGGTCTGGAAGAGGTTAAGCCATCACTGGGAAAGATGAATGACGAAACTCAAGTTGTAGGCGATGCGAAAGATGTGAGATGAGAAATTTTGGCAGATGGGTCACCTGAGAAGCTCCATCTCTGTCTTAAAACACGCCCATATTGATTATGCCACTTGACATATTTCCAGGGACAATAAACATATTTATAACACAGGACCTCATTTTCAGGCCACATAGATAGTGCAAACAAATATTAAGCCAAAGCACAACTTCACTTTCAGCCATTTCAACCTCCCTCTGCAAAAAACATCTCCATGACTTCACTCTGTTGCTGACCAGTTTCTTTGTCAACAATGATCAAGTCAAGAAAACTGGGGAATAGAACATTATATTTCTCCAGCATGATCTCCAAATCCTTCAGGGAAGCCTACAACATGGTAACCATAACAACACATGGCTGACAATAGTCACCAGGGTCCCCATGACAACCTTGAAAGAAAATCTAGCAAATCACCTCCGATAGTAAGAAGCTGCAATATACTGTATTTTGCCTTTAAAGGAGGATAAAAGGAGAAAGAAACCCTATCGGGATTTTGAAACCCGAGAGCTAAGCTACTAGATTGGTTAACACTACCTTGAAGTAGGAAACCATGCCAGCTTTTTAACCATCAACAGCCTCTACCAACCCTACTCCATGACAGTAAACCTGCTGGCATAAATCTATGGCCTTCCTTCTCTTCTGTGGCCTGAGCTTGTGACAAAATGAGAATCTCAATAGGGAATCATGCTCATATCTGACAACAGCAAGTTCCGTACTTAGTTCTCTGTAAATAAATGCTATCTTTAAATTATTATCTACCAGTATTACATATACCTTATTATGCAACCGTTGAGCAAGGTAACTGCAGGAATTAACTGCCCTTTGCTAAGGTTAAGGGTGAGAATACTAGCATTTACATTCCTCTGGAGCAGGGGTCTCCAACCTTGACAACTTTTAAGACTTCAACTCCCAGAAATCCCCAGCCAGCAAAGCTCTGGAGCAAGCATCAAGCTAGGTGGCAGAATGAGAGAATATACTGTTGTCTGGACAGTAGCCAAAAGTATCCATGACACATGAAAAGCAGCAGCAAAGGCTCTTGGGTGTCATTGGACAACCAGCAGAGCACCTCAAACATTAGGAATAAGTAATACAAATGAAAACAAACATTTCTGATCCCTGACTGGTTGCCAAGAATTTATTGTTCATCAACCTTTTGAAAGGAGAAAAATAGCAATAGCAATAGCAGTTAAACTTATATACCGCTTCATAGGGCTTTCAGCCCTCTCTAAGCGGTTTACAGAGTCAGCAACTTGCCCCCACAGTCCGGGTCCTCATTTCACTCACCTTGGAAGGATGGAAGGCTGAGTCAACCTTGAGCCAGTTAGATTAGAACTGCTGAACTGCAGATAACAGTCAGCTGAAGTGGCCTGCAGTACTGCACCCTAACCACTGCGCCACCTCGGCTCAACATAGTTGGGCCAAAAATAAATAAATAATAACCCACCCACTTGCTTTTACGGCAGGCGATTCAAGGATGGATCTGGCATTTCCAGCCAAAAATCCTTGAGAACTAATTAAAAGATTTTTCTGAGATATTGGAGGAAACGCAGGGAAAGCCAAGCAGGGACAGCGAACGTTTAGTCAGAAATTGATGAACTACAACTCCTAGGTTTCTTGTTATTGGCCAGCTGGCTGAGGAGTGATCCAGCAATTCTGTTAGGCCAGTTAGGGTTAGGGTTACAAAGAATATTGTACTGGGCTAGATTATAGATGAACAAATAGCATTTTCTTAGTCTTGAAATTCCCCAAGTTCATTCTGAGAAAATATGGCAGTAAAGCAAAGTATACTGGCAGTGCAATTCTTGGTGGCAAATTCATTTTGGAAAGAAGGGATTATTTTAATTGAGCCCAAATAATATTAAAAAAGCATAGCTCTTGGTCACAAAAATATCACCCAACCTTTGGTTAGATGTTTATCAAAAATGTCCAGCTTCTTACCACTCAAACAATGTCCAGGGAGTTTTAGGGGTGTGGAAGATGTTTTCCAAGTGTTGAGGACAGAGCAATCTAGTTCAACCAACAACACGAGTAGCTCTACCAGTTCAAATCCTGACCTACTTTGCTAAGGCATTTTGATTGCTAGGGTGATTTTAATATCCAAATCAAGTTAACCATTTGCTGTTTCACAAAAGCAATATTCACGCAACACTCCAAATCACATCAATCAAAGGGCCGACAAGCCCATTTGAAACCATAGCAAGTTGGCCTTGTTTGAATCTGGTATCGGTCCCCCTCCTTAGCTTAATGCTTAGTGTAAATTGAGACCATAGTTAGTTGTGCAAACCTTCAACAGGGATTTATACAGCAATCGGATTAAGCTGAATGTATAAGCACTACTAAAAAAAAAAAAAAACAGTATTGGTTCCAGGAAAGAATAGGGAAGCGGGCTTCTACAAGGCTGTTTTTTTTAACCTCCTGATTATAACCTCTGCTTGGCAACTCTGAAAAACTAAAGGCCCCGTCCACTTAAAAGATATTGCCCATTCTTTAGCCAAAAAGACTTCCTGTACGCAGAGGTGGGCTTCAAAAATTTTAGCAATGGGTTCTTTGCCCAGTTGCTGGGGGGGTGGGGTGGCTATGGTGGTGGGGAGACACTTTTGCCCTCTCCAGGCTCGAGGCCCTCTGGAGGCCAGAAACGAGCTCATTTCCAGCCTTCACAAATTTCCGGTAGGCCCATTTTCCACCCTTCCCGTTCCACCGCGTGCCCTTACTGCATCCAAAACGGGCTGCGTGGGGACTCCTGGGAGGTGTGGGGTAGGCGGGGCCAGCCAGGAGTGGGATTTGGGGATTCTTTAAACTGCACAGAATCTTAGCTAGAGGTTCCCCTGAACCCCTGCGAACGCCCAGCAGCCCACTCCTCCCTGTACATGACTTAAACACTGGCA